TGTTAAAACAGGGTGGGGAAGAGCAACGGTAAGAAAGATTACCGTAAAGCGATGGATTTTCATATAACAAAAAAAAAATACAACAAAATTTGCTAACTGGTTATTACTCTTCAGTGCTCAAGTGAGAACAGATAAATATGTACACGGCGACTAAAACTGTGAGGAAGAAAAATACTACAACAGAATCGCTTAATAGTCATTCCTTCTGCTGAAAGAGTGGGGGCTGCTAAGACTTAATATAAACAGACTTACGGATTCTCAAATGGTAATCCGAATGCGCTCTGCTGAATATATGCTGGATTGTTGCCTCTGCTGAAAGACGAGGCACCAGTCGGGAGTATTCACAAGCATTTGCACATTTTCATACTAGCTTCGACGGAGATCAGCTGGTATGTGGTGGTCAATCCGCACCTCTAACATCTGATTTGTTCTGCCAATATATTCAGCATCACATTAACATTGGTAATTATAGGCCATTGAACTAAGATGGTGTGAAAATCGAACATCTTTGTAAATGTATTTCAGCATAGGATGGGAAGTGAAAACAGGCGATGGATTGACTGATACAATACAAAGCTAGTGCTACTTTTCAAATCCAAGTTAATCGCAAATAAACGCAACACTTTTCACAGTTTGGGTGTATTAAATTGCACAGTTTTAGCATGAATGCTAGTTTGCACAAAATAATGATTTAAAACGTAAAAACAGAAATGGATGCTACCACCAGAGTTAAGATCATAGAGAGATAAAATATGAAAAAGAATTACATAAGCTTAACATATATATATATATATATATATATATATATATATATAAACACACACACACACACATATATATATATATATATATATATATATAGAGAGAGAGAGAGAGAGAGAGAGATTTTTAATCATTTCACTTCAGGCAAAAAATGCACTAAGCTGCAAGGGGTTACTGAGAGTGAAAAATGTGTAAAAGAAAAAAAAAGAAGACAGAAGATAACGATTGATACTGCATTTAAACTTTTGTCGATCAAACTTGACTTGAAAACAAGAAACAGGAAAGTAGTGAGAACTGAGAGAGAAGAAACTGTTAACATAGAACTTACGGTTACATCTAATCATTTCAAGTGTAAAATGATGAGACCTTGATGAAACCTAAGAAACAAAGTGGAAAGCTCTTCAGAACAATTACCATGCAAATATTTATAGAAAAGGCACAGGGAATCACATTTAAAACACTGTCATATTAATATAATAGTATCCAATGTTTTGGTTATTTGTTTGTTTTTGTTTAGCGCCATATAGACACCTCTATGAGTTATTTGATCTAAATATTTTGTACACAGATTTATTTATTCAATTTTTAGCGCTTTGGAAATAATAAATAGTTTTAGTGATACAAGTCTTACTAATTAACACATAGCTGGGGGAGAAGAGGTGGATTCAGACCTTTCACAAGGGAATATAACGAACATAACAGGAATTGGAACTCAACTCGCCGTTTAACAATTCCTTACCATTATCCTTTACACCACTTGCTTATACAAGCTTACAGCACCTAATATTCCCAATCGGTCACCCAGCTAGGTACTGACCAGGTGCCATGTTGCTTAACTTAGGTGATCTCTTCAATTTGGAACACTGCTTTCCGATTAACAATTCCTTCCCGTTATCCATAAAACAACCCGCACATCCAAGCTTACAGCACCTGGTATTGCCAAGCGGTTACCCAACTAAGTACTGGCCAGGATCGACTTTGCTTAACTTCGGTGATCTCTTCAAATTGGAACTCGGCTCTTCGATTAACAATTCCTTGCCATTATCCATTACACCACGTAATCGTGTGACAATAAATCTCTTCAAATTTTCAGCTCCTTCACTACGACTCCAGTACTGCCATAGTATCAACAGTATCAGCCATTTTTTTTTATTCGTCAACTAAACTACATTTGCTTGTATTCATTTGTCACTGACCTTCTACGTGAAAATATAATCTTCAACTCACAGGTGAGGTCCTAGCATGTATTTTTTTTTTCGATTTCTTTTATTTTTGTCTAATGCCTCGTTGCAGCAGCTGCATCTACGATATAATATAGACATTTTTATACTATTGTTCATTCAATACAAGGCCCAAGAGCTAATCAATATAGAAGGTTACTAAATGAGTTTGTTGGAAATGCGTACAAAGAGGGAATTGCTTATGATGAGGATATGGGAGGTGAGAAACATAGCGAAACGGCAACAGCTCAAGTGATATATGCGAAAGCCAACCTGGATTAATTGCCAGGAAGCAAAACCCTAACTCTGCGCATCAACATGGCATCGAGAGATCCCACCGGAAATTACTCCACAGTCCGAAGACCTTTCACCAAATAACAGCAACCTCGATATTATGCACCTAATAAGATAGCTTCCTTAGTAATGACTCCATGGTTCGGATCCCTGACTATCAAGATGATGATGACGATGATGATGATGATTGATAGTAGTAGTAGTAGTACTACTACTACTACTATTATTTTTTTTATTTATTGTTACAGCATATTATGTTGGTTTCTAGCCCCCCTCCAAATTTATTTTCAGGTCACCACTCGTGACTAAAGAAATAAATTATTCTGTCCACCTGTTAATTTTGAGAAAGGCAGAGGGTTGTAATAAAAGCGCGGGATAAGCTAGCATCTCCCGCCAAAAAAGGATTAGAATTTCAGAAATAAATTGAAGAAAATAGTCCAGTGTTAAAATATTTTGGCGTGCCGTACTTTCGGCATTTTAAATTACTAGAATTTTTTGGCAAAAAATAAAAAAATTAAAAAAAAACTCACGTTATTTAGTATTGTTGAAGTTATCGTTAACATTTTCTGTGGAGATACCCAAACTACATTTTGTTTAATTCCGCATACCAATCGAAGAAATTTGAAACAGCTGATTTGTTCGGAAAAATACTTTGAAAATAATCCTACTTTGCAGTTTAATAATTTCTTTAATTTTAATTTATTTTATAGGACTTCATGGTAAACAATATTTTTTTTAATTTCCTTTTTTTTTCCTTTTTAAGAGCGGAAAATAATATTTATGATTTCTTACTCTAGAGCATGCAACATACAACTGGTCATGCGTAAATATTTTTTTCCTAGAGCTAAATTCTAACTTTTTGAAGCGCTTGGCCTTGTGATTTGTTTATAGTTCTCACAAACGCAGAGCGTCTTGGAAACTGGATTCTTGTATATAAAGAA